GCGTGTCCCAGCAACCGGGGCCCCAGGCAGCCGCTGAGCAAGGCGACTGCAACCTCGCTCGCACAACCGTGGCAGGCACCCACCGCGTGCAGGCCCCGTGCTAGACACGGCGTGGTGCTGCAGCCTGCCGCGGGGTCCTGCCCGCTGACCCCGGACGCCGGGACCGGCTCTTCCCCGGTGGGGACCCCCTCCATGCCCAGAGCGCCCCCAGTCGTGATGACCACAGATGTTCCCCCTCGCTCCCCGCCGCCCAGTGTCCCCTCTCCCCCAGAAATGGCACCAACATTACTGACTGGCATTGGGGGGAGCAAAATCGCACTCGGCTGGGAACCCCGGTTCTAGTGAGAGAACTCAGCATACGCAAGGAGTTAAATGAAATAAGATAAAATAAATTAAGGTGACAGTAAAATAAAAGATAAAAATTAATCGATAAAAATAAATTGATAAAAAGTGAGATAAAATAAAAGTAAATTAATAAAAACAAGGTAAAAAATAAAAATAAGCTAATGAAAACAAAAAATAAAAATTAATAAAAACAAGACAGATAATATATAAAATGAGATAAATTATGAAATAAGGTTGATAAGGGCAGGGGCCTTCAGACTGCATTTGACCATGACATCTCTATCTGGTTAAAAAATATGTATGTGTGTACCACACCCACCCACACTCACAACACGCCTGTGAATGGCACAGGGTAACATGTGCCCTCACAAAGCATCATGCATTATGGAATTTCATATTCTACTTAAAGTAAAAATGTGCTTAACACCACTGAACCGTACACTTAAAAATGGTGAAGACGGTAAATCTTACGTTGTGTGTATTTTACTACAACTAAAAAAAAAAATAAGTCAAAGTATGTAAAAAGAAAAATTCCCCAAAACCAAAAAAAACCTCAAACCTGCTTGCAGGGGGCAAACAGAGCAGGTCACAGACACTACCTCCTTTCTAGGACTGGTTCTAAGATGAAAAAGCAAATACCCATTTCCTATGGTGATTCCCCAGGGGGTAAATGCGTTCCTACAATGGAGACAGACAGGAAGGAAGCCCTCAGAAACTGTGAGCTCTTCCTCTCTCCCCTCAGCGTACAGGGGTCTCCTATGGCCCAGGTGCCCGCTGGTATCTGCCCTGCTCCCCCCAAACCCCAACCCCCACTGAAACCTGCCTGGGAACCTTGACAACTTTTATTGCTGGACACAGATAAGCGCTAATAAAGGGTGAGTTTCCAATGAAACTCAAAACCAAAAGCCTTTGCAGCCACAGCTCTCAGAAGCCTTTTGTGCCGAGACGCTGACTGGGGAAGGACTCCGAGCCAGACCCCGCTCCCCTGCTCTGTGCCTCAGTTTCTCTCTCTGAAGAACAGGGCAGGGAGACATGATGGTTCTTCCCAAAGCGCACTGTCGATGCTAGTGAATATTGCGGGGTGCAGGGAAGCATACTTAACAACGGTTTTGGGCTGTGACCCTGTGAGGCAGGATGCGTGTGCGGTCCGTTCTGCTTATCCACAGCAGCTGCCTTCTCTGATGTCTTCCTGTATGAACACACACTGAACCACGGCTGCAGGTAGAAATGCAGGGTTAGGTTCCTACCAGCCTCTGCTCATACCCTTTTCATCCACGGATCGGACATAACCGTGTGTTATGTGTGTTTCTGTTCAAAGACGCCTGATTTAATACAGGTTGTTGATTCATTAACACAATTGACGACAGATACCCTGGACCTTGCACCTGAATGAAGCTCATCTAATGCGTGTTTTCTCTGTAAGGCACGTCATGGCCTTCCTGTACTTAGAACGCTAGCCAGCCCCTCAGCTCTATGCTCAGGGGCCATTTCTGACAGCAAAATCACCTGCAAAAAGCAGGGCATTCAGCAGACCATGAAAAGGACACTGGTTTACAGTCTGAGCTGAACCTCAGCTGGGAATGTGCACCTAGGGTGACATATATTTTGGCACCCTGCAAATGACTGCAAAGCACCCCATGTATTGATTTTGGGGTTACAAAGAAATGTTAGTGAGCAGGTGAATCTGTGAGTATGGGTTCCATGATTAATGAGGATGCGCTGTATATACATAGACTTATTTTTGTCTATATATTTCTCAGCTCTGTCCGCTGAGAGGGCCTTGGGGCAGACACCCCAGGTGCAGTGAGCACGCTTAGCACTCAGATGTTGGCTTCTAAACACCATCTGTGATAAAAGGATCCTGTGTTAACCATGCCTGTTAGTTTTCTTTGTTTTCTGA